CAAATTTTACATTGTAAATGTTAATTTTTCTGCTGAAATAAATGTGAAATTATATCATAGTAATCTCTCCAATGATAATGGTTGTGTTGTTTTAACAATTGTCATAACATATGGCCTGTGAAATATTCCATAACTGACTTTAAATGTGAAGAGTTTTGGGTTTTCAGACCAGTCCTATTCCATTACTTGTTTAAACAATGTTGTATTTTCAGCTTGTATAGTTTTGGGATATATTAGGGGTACACAGATTAATTATCTAGACCTAATGCTGTATTTTTCATGTAGAGTTTGGGGTTCGCTTGGTTGCGGCAGCCATCAGTATGTGGACTAGCCTCCACTGCCTCTGTGTACATATATTCTTAAAATATTATATGAGTCCTTTCCAGGAAGGTCATGACTTGACCTTGGGCAGGTGCCAGCAGAGTCCATGATTATAACAATATTTAGTGAGCCATGGAATCAGATTTCACTAAAGAAGTGACAAAAATTCCTTACAGTATTATTGATAATTTTTGCATTTAAATTTCTTGTCCTCTCAGAATACAGAGATAAATGAAAGTTACAAAAATAAATATTTTTAGTTCTTTGAGCCAAATATCTCACATAACTTTGAAAAACAAAATTGCAACAGTATATATTTTAATGCAGATTTGATATATTAGTAACTCACATATCAAAAGTTTAGAAAAATTCACTCAGGGGAAAGTTAGCATTTTATAGATTAAAATTAGGGATCAATATGAATTTAGAATTACCCATTTGTACACAAAGTTGAGCTTTGTATGAAGACAGCCTGTAAACAATAGCCAATTAGCATTAAAAGTTGTTGTTTTAACCTGTATTTTTATGCAATCAACAAATAAAAAAATATATATATTTTAATTTTCAAAGAAGTTTTGACTTCCACACCAGCCAAATATCATCTTCACATAGGCCTATATAATGGTTGCAATATTACCATTCATGTAAACAAAAAAGTATGGAACGCTGTTACTCATGTAAATTGTATGTGAAATTCCTAAATGTGAACATGTTTACTTTCATTTTATTTGTCCAAAGTATGATGGACAATTATTCCCCAGTAGTTTTGCAATTATACACAAGATATATTTAAAATGTAAACACATTTACACAAAATAAGTCAAAACAGTCTTTCATTAGAAAAACTTATCAACCAAGTACAATGTATATTTCAACTGCTATCAAGATTATATTTTGATTAAATATCTTGAAAATTTATAGAAATTTGACATTTTTAAAAAAAGTACAAAATTTATGAATCACATAATAGGATTTGATTTGAAAAGTTAAAAAAAAATCAATATTTGTTCACCTCATATTTCTCACTTTTATGATACTGTGTGATTCAAACAATTTTTTTGTTAATTTATGCTATGCTTATGTCATGTTCATGACTTATATAAAAAGCCAATTGATTTATTGTTTTTCAATAAAGTGAATTTGCAATACATGTACAAAAGCTGCATTATGTTTATAGTAATTAAAATAATTCAAATGGAATCGTTAGACGTATTAAATGTTTTTTTAAAATTCTTAATGTAACTTTTTAACAAAATATTTTAAATTATTTTTAAATAAACTTCTCCTTGTAATCATATGGTCATTTTTGCAAGTAAAATTATGAATTATTGAAGCTAACATAGGACTGGTGACAACGGCGTTTTCATGAACATGCTTTAGAATGTGAACAATCTGGAACACTTTCAAAGTAACTTCTTAATAAATATTAAACAAAGAAATATAATCTTTCTAGTATAATTGTATATTGTTTAACGTCTCAAATTTTTCATGCATATGGAGACGGCACCACTAGCCGGTGTGCACATTTTGTTCTATACTTAGCACTTTTTAGCAGTGATCTTACCTACTGCAACACGGGACCTCGGTTTATAAAATTATATACAAAACGTCAAATACAAAAAGAGCAGATGCTCTAACCACTGCACCATGCGGGTGAATTCCTAATTGAAGCCAAAGTCTTATAATTTCTATTACTGTCAGGATAAAAATATTTGGGGAAAATATAAAAACTTAATTATACTTTTACATATGAACACACACATGTATAAAAATTGACTACGTTAGAGTTTAACATTTAATTCTTACTTACACACATTTGGCTCGCTCTCTTTTACTTCATTCCATTTGTGTAAGTGCTTTTATTTGACCTTAGATTTTTTATATCAATAAGAATAAAATAATCTACTGTGTGCTTTCAATTGCCCCCACCCTCTTCAAGTAACATTACATAACAACGGTTTGAAATACATTAAGATTTAAGAAGGGTAACAATATAATGATTATTTAAAAATGCGCAGGACCTTTGCACGAACATTTCACGATATTTTGTACTCAATGCAATTTAATTACTGTTGAAACTTGGTCAACAATGATCATTTTCAAGTGATAACAATTTCAAATTTTATCCAAATTCACTTCATATTATTGAATGTAGTTGAGGGTTATACTCAAAAAAAAAAAAATATTTTTAGGTCTATCTTGGAGCCAATTTTGCTTTTATTATTGTCTTTTAGAGATTAAACAGTTGTATAATACTTTACTTTGTTAAATTTTATTGTGTGTTTGTATGTTGTGTGGGGTGGATTGAATTTTTATGTCATGAAATCAAATTTTGTACTTTTCCTACGATGCATATTTTTTTTTATTTGTTCTTTTATACCTTAAAATTCTATAAACTTTCAACATCTTTTTTGCCATGGACAACACAACTACAATGTAATCTATCTTTTGCTGTGTGTAAAAAAATTTCAGATTTCAAATATTTTTGACAAAAAAAAAATAACAACCTACCTAATCCAGCTAAAAATATATAAATCTATTCGGGGAGACTGGGGTTGTTGGTTTCCCACAATTTTCTTCATATGCGGGGAAAACCGTTGTTACAGGAGGGATTCAGGTTTTTTTTTCATTCAAATTGCTGAATTTTCACAAAAAATTCTAATGGGGGATGTCCCTGATTATTTCTCACATTATTTGCGGATATTACCTTTCATATGAATTAAAACATTTTTATTGTTTCTTGACTTTTGGTGATTGAGTATATTCGTGCTATATTTAGCATTGCTGAATACTGAAATTTTTCATGTAAATTCAGTTATATAATATATCCATGGTTACCACCTATTTACATAAATTTTCTAAATAATTTCTTTGAAGCATTTATGGCAAAAGAATGCATTTTGAGTATGTGTGTAAACTAATAGTGACTGTATTCTTTTATAAAGGTTCATTGTTCAAAAGTAGGTGATATTCTCAATTTTTCTGTTTCCATGGCAACCAACACATATAGCAACCAAAATTTCATATTTTTCCCCAGGTTATTCAGTTAAGTTTATTTCCCTACTTACATGTTTTTTTTTTAAACCAATTTTGGCTTTACATTGTTCGATTAACATTTAATCAGAGTGAACACAATACGTCCCAATAATGACCTCAATTTTTCAATTTTCCCATGTATAAATTTTTCTAAACTTTTTGTTATATATTCAGATCATATCATAAATTGATTAAAACTAAGTTTTGAAACTGTTGCAATTAGTTCACATTTTGATGGAAAATTTGATAATTTGACTAGACTATAATGCTATGGCCATTTGTGCGGTGTGCGTCGTGCGGTGTGCGTTAACTTTTTAGAATATGGGCCATATAAAGCCCTCTGGCCAATAAAATTTTGAAATTCATTGGCCATGTTACCATTTAAAAAAACAAGGGTTGGGACCCTAAAACATCTAGATAATCAGGAAAACAAAACCAAAAGTACTGGTTGCAAAAAAATCTTCTTCTCCAGAACCACCAGGCAGATTTTCACAAAACAAACATTCATGATATGGGATTCTGATTTGGGCATTGGGCTCTAAGGTTTATAGTGAAAATGCAAAAAATTTTAAAATATATTTTCACCTTTATTTATTTAGCAGAAATTATGATGATCATGTTAAAATTAAGTGACCTACTTTTTTATTTGTTGTTTACACACTGTTGGGTTTTCAGGACACTTTAAGTCAATTATTTATCATACATGTATTGAAAACACATTAAATCTTTGAAAATTTTTGTCTTTATGCTCCTTTTTAGAACATTTCAAAAGTGTTTCAGACAGAATAATGAATGATCAAATGTGCTCATATGTTCAAAATTATGAAATATGTCATGCCCTTTTAGAATTTTGACATTTGTTTTCAATTGTTTAAAAGGCATATTTTGATTACCTTCACCCTTATACATGTATTGTTATACCATGTATACTGTAGTTGTGAACTTGTGAGGGTTCTGACTTTTAAAAATACAGACAAGTAAAATATGAAACTTTGATTAATGCAGTTTTTACCTGTTAATAAAAAACACGGTGACCTACTTTATATTGTAAAATGCTATAATGTTCCCACATAATAAATGTGAAAAGTAGATCATAGTAATCTCTCCAAAGATGGGTCATGGTTGTGTTGTTTTAACATATTGTATTTCTGGTACTTTTTTAACATCAAACTTTGTTAGTTTATGCCTGTGGTTTTATTCCATTAATTGTCACAGTGACTTGCTGTATGATTGGCTTAGAATTATCAAACTTTTGGGTTTGGTTGGTTGCATCAGTCCTATTCCATTAATGGCTAAATGTTTAGACTTAATGTTGTATTTTCAAACTTTGTAGAGTTTTGGGTTTGATTGGTTGCAGCAGTCACTATGACCTACTTACATTTTATGGCTATACCTAATGCTGTATTTTTCAGAATTGTAAACTTTGTTAGTTTATGCCTCTTGGGTTGCAGCAGCCATCAGTATGTGGTCACGGTGACAGCCTCCACTGCCTCTGTGTACAATATAGAATCATCAAACTTTGTCAGTTAATGCATCTTGGGTTTTCCAAGAAGGTCATGACTTGACCTTGGGCAAGGTGACCTACTTTTGCAGATCCTATACATATTGGCGTAGAATCTTACATATCTTAGTTTGTCTATTAATGCATCTTGAGCCATGGAATCAGATTTCACTAAAGGTCAGTGACAATCATGGTTTTTTTTTTTTAGACCATTCCTTAAAATATTATTGATAATTTTTGCATTTAAACTTTTTATCAGATCCTCTAGGTTTTAGGATACTTAGGGTTAGAGGCTTCAAATACAAGTGATAGGTTGTACAATTTATCAGAAGTGCGATTCAAGGCCCTTGGGCCTCTTGTTATTCATAATCTCAAATTCACACATATCTTAAAGTTTAATCTCAGTCCTATTGAGTTCAAGATGACAAGTTTAAAACATATACAGTCAAATCTCATCTCAAACTGAATGGGACAGGAAAAACTTTGAGATATCCAATGATTTGAGATATCGAGTGTAAAATACTTAAAGAATAAGTTACTGTAAACCAACTTTTATTCTCGTGAGAGAAATTTTCGCGAAGTTCGCGAGAGCCTTGTCATCGCGAATATTTCTCGCCGCGAACCAGTCCTTAAAGTCTCTGCGTCTATAAACAACAGATCAAAAAAGGCCTGATCGCAAAAATTAATCTTCGCGAACTAGTTTAACCCCAGTAAATCCCGAAATAAAGTCTTCAGGAATAAAAGTTGGTTTACGGTATTGGGACCTCTAAATCACTTTGACATATCCATGCTATTTGAGATATCTGTGTTCTAGATACCAAGGTTCAACTGTATATCCTTCAAAGAGCACAACTTTTAAATTTAACCTTTTCAAACACTTGGTTTTTTTTCATTATTATTGCAAAAATATAATTATTTACATGTATTGTATAAAAACCTTGTCTGTTCATGACTTTAAAAATATGTAATACAGTATAGCAGAATGACAGTAAAATACAGTGAAAGTGGAGCAAATAAAGTAACTATATATATGATTCACTGTATCTAGTTAATGTATATTCACTATTTTTAGAATAGCAGTATATCCTGATCAGTATACAGCAGTATATTGTGTATAACATGTTTCAGGTTCTGGACTGGCTAGCTTTAATGCAGCGCAGGCAGAATTCCACCTTACAATCTCTATCAGGTGAGCTGAAACTAGAATACCACATTTAAGGTTAAGTTTTGAGTTCTTAATTCTTTAATTGCATAGACACCTGATTTTTAAAAACGTTTTAACACTATTATATTTCAGTATTTTAAAATTGAGTTGTTTTGACATTTTCTAGCTGCTGAGGTTGGCCTGAAGCATTCTGCCGAGTTCAGGAGAGCTCAGGCCTGGACTGATATTATACAAAGATATCCCACAGTCTCTGTAAATTAGTCTTCATTGTAGAGAACAACAGACATTAAAAAAAAAAAAATTCTGCTACTATACTCAACAGTGCTAACATAGGAAAGTGTTTCAGTAGATAGTTAATTCTCCAGCTATTGTCTATGTAAAGCACTGAACACATACTTGGGCATTAAGAATTTTAATAAGTTGAAAATTCAATCTTCTTCAGTAAATGAAACTGATGTCCTTCACAGGAATAGTACATTGTTATATCTCCTTCCATATTTCAATAAGAAAATCTTCTATTGCTGTAGAAGATATCTCCAGACGCCAAAGACAATTATTAATAAACTAAGACAAAACTTTGCATCTTTTTCTGTGTTTGAATAAATTTATCATTGTGTGTTTGTACTTAAATATTATGAAATATTGGCAAGTTTCTAAGGATTAACAGAGCTCTAATAAGCTTTTGCAAACTGTTGAGTTACTAAATGATCAGGAGAAGAAGAGATTTATGACTTTGATAGCTGTACCCTGGTTCCCTCAGGAGAAGAAGATTTTCCCCTTGATTTATGACTTATATGATATTAACTAACAGTATTCAAGCTCAATACAAAATGGAGCAGAGCAAACACAGACCTCCAAACATCCAGCTGCTATGTAGCTCCAAACAGTCATACCAGTCTTGTGCTCTTGTCATGATTGAGAAATTTTCCCAGTTCTGTGTCTAAATATTGGCTTTATGATTAGTATGGTACATGAAATATATGTAGATCATTAATCAACTAGAACTTAAAAAATTAATACTTTGAGTGAGACTGCTGAATTTGTTTCATCAACTTGCTTGTCAGTAGTTTACCTCGTTTTATAAATTGTTCATATATAGATCATGTTCTTGCGTATTGAATCAACTAGGATATATAAACTCCATACGCAGGTGATGAAGGTATATTGCTGCTTAGCGGTAAGTAAGGGAAGTTGACAATTGAAAAGTAAAAGTTATCATGTTGATCATGAAGCTTGGTCATTAGATTACCATTAAGTCATCTTTTTTAAGATAAATGTACAAATATGAACAGATGTCACATTCTGTGGCTTTTATTTCAAACTCGCTAGGATATCTCGTATGGGAATGAGCATTGTTAATTGACAATAAATTGTTGAGATATATAAGTGTGGAGTTAAAGGCCACAGCAAGTGTTTTATTCTTTTCAGTTTTCAATTTGTATATGATCTTGAATAATTCTACTTCATATGAATACAAAAATAGGTCTGCTTATAATGGGGCACAATCGTTATCCATGGAAATTCCAACAAATTGTTGGAAGACCTGGTCTCCAAAAAAAACACAAAGATATTGTAAATCAGAAACTCTTTTTAATATCAACTTCAGAGTACTTGTGTGTAAAATCACTTAAGCTGCACTAAAATTGTTTGCCATTAATGTGGTTCTGTTAAAAAAGTTGAAAAGTTCATGAAGTGCATATAGGGCTGAATTTTTGGTAATTATCAACTTTTCATTTCCGACATTTTTTTGTTTTCATTTCCAACATTTTTTAATTACATAAGTACATGTAGTACCTATAGTAACATTTGATAACTTTACTTGTGAAAAATTTAAAGGAATAAATCATACATAAATCATTGAAATCCAATTTTGTAAATCTATCAATGACTTGGACATAAGTGTGGTGCTGTCACTGACATTTAATTTAGTGCACATTAAATATGGTGAAAAAGTTTTATGCTCATGAAACTCTTTTACCTAGTCTTAGTGCTACATGTATGCATTTATGTATAGATGGTTTTTTATTAACATTTTGACATAAATACTTTTAAAATTCCATTTTCTTTTACTTAGAAAACATTGAATTGCCGTACAGGTAAATTCCGGAAATGAAAAAAAAATATGTCGGAAATGAAATTAAAAAAATGTCGGAAATGCTGTGCATATTTCTGGAAATGAAATGCAGTGGCATATAGCATAGGGCCATGAGCCAAAATATTTAATATCAAATTAATTAAATTATAGGATATATAAACAAAAAAAAGAATAAATACTTGATGTCCTCAAAACTAAATGTCAAATTGCCATTGAGAAAAGATATGATCCACTGGTATCAAACTAATTACAGTGCATATGATTATCACATACAGGTGTGCAGAAAGACTGCATGTGAATGAAAGTATATTTCTACCGCCTACCCCAAAGTCAATATTCAAACTTATCAAACAGGTTGCTTATGCAAGAATCTGGCCTAGAAAGTCTTTGCTATGAGGTGGTATAAGTGCTAGACAATACATTAACTTCTTTTAATATTCTGTAGACGAGAGGCCCATGAGAGGCAAAGCTAACCTGCATTACCAAGAAATATTTCGCCCCACCTTTAAAGCTTCTTGTGTCAAGACTTAACCAGATTTGAATTCACTTTTTGGGATTCTGTCTTTATGACAAACATGGCTTTGTTATTTTGGAGACATTTTTTTCAAATATATAAGCATCTTTGGATTCAGGAATTTAGACAGAATTATTTGGTTGAAAGTATATATTACACCCCCTTCCTAGGTGAGATATTAAAAAAGAGAAAATAAAGATCAGGGTCATTAAACCATATTCTTCTCAAGAACCAATGGGTCAAAAAAGGCTAAAAAAAATTGTTGTTTAAAGTCTAAATTGTTTAAGCCATGCTTTCGTATGCCAAAATACTAAAGAGTTGGGCTATGTCACAATAGGAGATCAATAATTTAGTTATAACCCCTGGAGTTGGGACAGGGCCATATCAGGATTGAGACCAAATATTTACATGAGAATGAATTGGAAAATTAATTTTTAAAAATAGCCAAAAAATGCTCAGTTACTGGGAGCAACCTCATAATATCCTCCTTTACTTTTGACCTTGATATTAATATGACTCTAAAGCAACAAATAAGGTCTCCACTTTTAATTTTGATTATATGACCCTAAACCAACAGGTCTACACCTTTACTTTTGAATTTAATTACATGACCCTACACAAACATGTCTCCTTCTTTACATTTGACCTTGATAATACATGTATGACACTATAATCCAACAGGTCTCACCTTAAATTTTGGTCTCGATTACATAACCCTTAACAAAGAGATCTCCACTTTGAATTCTAGTCTTTTTACATGACCCTAAATAAACAAGGTTTCCTCTTTTACCTTTGACCTTGATCACATGACCCTATGCCAGTAGACCCTAAACCAACAGAACTCGACACTTACTGTTGACTTGGATTACATTACCTTAAACAAACAGGTGTCCTAAACAAACAACTATCCTAATTTACTTTTGATCTAGATGACGTGACCCTTAATGAACAAGTCTCATTCTTTAATTTTGACCTTGATTACATGACCCTAAACTAATGGAACCCAACTTATAAATTTAGTCTTGTTTACATGTCCTTAAACCAACAAGTCTCTTCCTTTACTTTTGACCTTCAATTCTTGACCCTAAACCAATGGGTCTCCCTCTTTAATTTTTGTCTTGATTACTTGACCCTTAACCAATGGATCTCTAAGTTTACATTTGACCTTGTGTACATGACCCTAAACCAGTAGGTCTCTTGATTAAAAGACATTAAACAGTGTCCAACTTAACATTTGATATTGATAGCTTGACCCCTGTCAAACAAATATCCTTTACTTTTGACCTTGTGTACATGACCCTAAGTCCACAGGTCTCATCCTTTACTTTTGACCTTGATACCATGGCCTTAAAACAACAGGTCTCCACCTTTTGATCTTGATCATCACATGACCCTTACCAACAGGTTGCCACCTTCTAATTTGACCTTGATTACAAGACCATGGAACAACAGGTCTCCACCTTTTATGTGATCTTGATTGCATAACCCTACACAAATAGGTTTCCTCCTTTACTTTTTATCTTGACAAAAAAAATGGTTTGCCATTTTCCAACCAATCAGCTAAAAACAGCCCATGGAAAAACTTTTTTTGTGACTTTCAGGAAACTTTTGTTATTATGCACTCCAAAAAACTAGATTTTAAAACTTAAGCATTGATGTCGAAAATTTCTGAGAAAATTTTTTCATCTACCTACCCACCCAATATTTTTATTATGAATCAGGAGATGGCAAACAAACATTATTTTAAAGTTGGCCTTACATGTAGTTATTCAAAAGCCAATCGAAAAAGAATTGCATCAATAAACAGTCAATTCCAAATTTTCAACATCAAAAATCTACTGATGTTTCACTCTCTGCTCACACTGTAGTAGAAGTAACAAAAGCAGACACAAAGAGAGTATTTTTATTTTCAAAAATATGTCATAAAAAATGTGCAATCTAATGGGGAAAAATCACAAACATTCTCAAAAATGTACCTTTGTTTTAACACACTGATTGACATGCATAAATAACATACTGTAGAAGCACAAATTTTCGTGGGGATAAAATTTCGTTGATTCGTCATCAAAAACAGTTTCATGGGCATTTAAATTCGTCGTTTTGAGAGTAAGCCTTCTCAGTATATAGTCATATAAAATTTCGTGTGGGATTTAATTTCGTTGATAATTGTTAACAACGAAATAAAGGAAATTTAATCCCCCACGAATATTTGTGCTTTAACAGTAATCCCCTCAACAATTTGAAACAATCGTGTATGAAAACAAGAGATCTATAAAAAAAAAAGTTGATTGAACAAACATTATTATCATAAATTAGAGAGGCCACAACAACAAATGCATAATATTGTATCACAAACCACATGTCAATAGGGTTTTACAAAAAAAAAGTAGGAAAGACAAAAAGAGGAACTATTAAATAAATACATACATAGTCTTATTATGTACGTTCTTATAACCAAAAACAAATGTTTAATATGATTTAGTTAGTAGAAACTGACTAATTGAAATTATAATTAATTTTTTTTATTGAAATTATCTGCTTTGTACGAACATATACATGTATTAGTATATTAACATTATGTAAACAAAACATTACACGGACCATGTTTACATAACAAAGGTTTGGAGCTCTAAATCTGTCTTGTATCTCAACAACCGAAGTTCAAATTTTTGATGATCATTAGTAAGACTAGTTAATAATTTGATAGAAAATGAAAAATGAATTTGAAAATTTTTAGCTTAAACTGTGTCCATGCCCCTTTAAGATAAATTTCATATATACTGATTTTTTTTTTGGGTACAACTTCTTTTAATTCCAGGTACAAGAAAATCCTTGTCGGATATTAATGAGTAAAAGATAAGATTATCGTGGGTATCCAATGATGAAGAAAAATTAATGTTCAAAATCAACAATTCTCTGACTCAAT